AACTGAGGCCCCAGCACGCCCCGGCCGGGCTGCGCCCCGCCCCCGGGCCGGCCGAGGGGGGAGGCCGGGTATTTATAGACTTAATCTCTCGCCGGCCCAAGGAGGCTGAAAGCCGCCGCCTAATCTCCCGGCGCGGGGTCCCCGGCGCAGGTGCCGCGCCCGGGGCTTGTCCTCCGCGGACTGAAGACGAGCCGGGCGCCCGTGCCTCCAGCCCACCCCGGGCGGAAGCCCAGGACCCGCCGAGTACAGGGGCTGAGCCACGGCCGCTCGGCCGGTGACCTGGCCAACTCCGGCCTGAGCCCAGCCCACCCGGGAATGGAGGGAGCCGGCCAGGCCTCCGCTGCAGGTGTAAAGCCCACGGTGAGAGCCACTGCTAAGGAAGGCCGCAGCGCCCAGCTCTCCTGGGCGCCAGAGATGGCTCCCCGCTGGCCTCTTGTGGCTCCTGATTATCACTGACTGACCACACCTGCCCGGCCACCACCTTCGGGCCCACGGCCCCACGGGGTGCTCCTCTCCTTCCTGGCCCTCGCGATTTAAGAACGCTTGTACTGACCTGTAAGGTAGAGGCAGGTGCCCACGAGGTGTAGAGTCCCAGCCCCAGCGGGGTCCCAGTGGGTACACTGGCCCCCGATTGCTGAGAGGTAATTATTGAGAGGCTGTGGCCAGCTGCTCTGCATCCTGAGGCCCACAGCCCCTGGGCTGGGGCTGATGGAGCAGGCGGCTCTGCTCTCTGACCCAGAGAGAGGCACCTTAAAGCCAGCATCTGTTCACAGCACAGTTCTGCAGCCCAAACCGCAGGAGTTCTGACCCTGTTGCGCAGAGCTCGTGCCCTCTGTGAAGAAGGAAGAGGCTCAGGGGCGAAAGGCCCCTACCTGGAGGAAAACACCCCTTGTCTCTGTTGAGGCCGGGCCGGCAGCCTCCGTTGGCCAGCAGACCTGGTCCTGCCTCCCAGGTCCACCACCTAGGCCCATGGCCCCATTCCCCATTCCTCCCAACTCACTTCTCCCTGGCCCAGCCTGGTTTTTAAAAGAGGTCTTTGTTCGGGAGGTGGGGTGAGGTACCACCATGACTCAGGCCCTCCTCGCTGTTGGTGGGTTTTCAGATTTTATCTGGGAGGAGGCAGCGGAAAGACAGGCCAGTTGGCTGCCAGCCGCTCTCTCCATCCTGGGCATCCGGCTCCACCTTGAGGTGCCAGACAGAGTTCGAGGGCTTTGGCACATGGAAACAGGCCAGGTCCAGCAAATTGAAACAAGGAGACCCAGAGAGATTTCACTGTGGGCCAGTGGTGAATGTCTTAGAGTCTGCCTGCATTTCAGGCAGAAACTGCAGCCTCCCAGCCACCTGCTGGACCTGCCCCGCCTTCCCTGGCAGAGTGGGACCGGACCACCGTGGTCTTCCCAAGTGGGGCCGGAGGGAAGCCAGTGGGGCTGGCCACTCACCCCGCGGAGCTCCATACCTCTGAGATTCTTTTACCTGTCTGTTAAAAGCCCATGGAAGGCCTGGAGCCAGTGGCTCAGGACTGCAACCCTAGCTACTCAAGAGGCTGGGAGCTAAGGCTCACAGTTCAAAGCCAGCTCAGGCTGAAAATTCCATGTGAGATTCATCTCCAGTTTACCACCAGAAAACCAGAAGTGGGGCTGTGGCTCAAACTGGAAGATTGTTCACCTTGAGAAAAAGAGCTCAGGATCAGCACCCAGGCCACAAGTTCAAGCCCCACAACCGACCAAAAAAAAACAAAAGAAGCTTGATGCCTATGGCTCATGTCTGTAATCCTAGCTACTTAGGAGGTTGAGATCTGAGGATCATGATTAGAAGCCACCCCAAGCAGGGAAGTTTGTGAGACTCTTACTACAAATGAATCACCAGAAAGCTGGAAGTGCAGCTGTGGCTCACGTGGTAGAGCCTAGCCTTTAACAAAAAAGCGCAGGGACAGCACCCAGGTCCTGAGTTCAAGCCCTAGGAAATGGCACCAACATATAACAAAATCTGTGGCTCCTGTGAAAATGGTCACACACACATACGGGGGGGGGGCGGGCTGGACATGATGGTAGCTTCAGAGCAGGGCTGTGTGCAGAGCCACTCCTGCCCTGTCTGTCACCACGCAGAAGGGACACACCCCTCCGGGAAGAATAAGTTTGTGCACTTGCCTGTCCTTGTCCCCAGAGAGGCTCCTGTGACCATTTAGTGATAAGGAGATGTATATCCTGGTGCCAGAAGGAACCAGCGTACACATTGTGAACAGCCCAGGTTCAGAAGGAAACTGAACAGAGCCTGGGCCCCTGAAACACCAGTCACACACCGCCTGACAGTGTCACTGCCAGTGTCACACTCTGACAACCTCACACTGCCGGCGTGCACAGAGGCTCCCACACCGTGGAGGGGAGCAGGGCATGCTCGCCCCTCCCCACCCTGTCTTTTTGCAGTACTGAGGCTGGAGCCAGGCTTACCCACGCTGGGCACACATTCTATCACCGGAGCCACACCACAGCCCTTTTGTTTGTGTTTTGTTTTGGAGACAGGTGTCTCCCTGCTACCTCCGTCTAGACTTGCCTTGAAGCCTATGCTCCTGCCTCTGTCTTCTAAGTAACGGATTTCAAGTGTTTGAACTGTTCTTGAAGGTGTTCCCAACTTTGGAACAAGTTGCAGGAATCCAATCACCTGTGCATCACCAGAGACACGAAGTGGCCAGAGGCCCTGGTCACTTCTTTTTGTTTTTTCTTTCTTGCTTTCTTTGTTCCAGTCCTGGGCCTTGAACTTGGTCTGGATGCTGTCCTTAGCTTTCTTCACTCAAGGCTAGCACTCTACCACTTGGAGATAAGAGTCTCATGGACTTTGTTGCCTGGCCTGGATTGAACCTCAATCCTCAGCTCTCGGCCTCTGAGTAGCTGGGATCACAGGCGGCGCCAGTGGTCGTGGCTGGCCCGTTCCCTTCTGTTTACACGTACACATGCCTGCCACTGTGCGCTTGCCCAGCCCAGTGTCCATTTGCAGAGAGGATGACCTTTGACTCGACATATCGCTTCGTATTTCCTAAGAGCATCCTCTAGAGAACACAGTGATCACAGTCAGAGAACTCAATATTTATTCCACACTGTCAACTAAGATACAACTTTTCTTCTGATTAATTCTGTGTGTGTGTGTGTCCGGTCATGGGACTTGAACTCTGGGCCTGGGCACTGTCCCTCAGCTCTTCAATTCAAGATGAGCACTCTAGGGGCTGGGAAGGTGGCTCAGTGGTAGAGCGCTTGCCTTGCATGCTCGAGGCCCTGGTTCCATTCCTCAGCACCACATAAGCAAAAAGAAAAAAAGCTGGAAGTGGCACTGTGGCTCAAGTGGTAGAGCGCTAGCCTTGAGCTGAAGAGCTGAGGGACAGCGCCCAGGCCCAATCAGGCCCCATGACTGAACCCCCCCCCAAAAAAAGATGAGCGCTCTACCGCTTGAGCCAGCGCCACTTCCGGTTTTCTGGTGGTTTATTGGAGATAAGGAGATAAGAGTCTCATGGACTTTCCTGCCAGGCTGGCTTTGAACTGCGAGCCTCAGGTCTCAGCTTCCTGAGTAGTTAGGATTACAGGTGTGAGTTCCCGGTGCCCAGCTCTGACAGATTCTTACAAATACAGATTCATGGAGGACCCCATCTCCCACCTCCAGCTGAGAACTGCGGCCCTGCGCTGCTCTGGCTCCGCCCAGCCCTACTGTGGTTTCCCTGCCTTCTTTTACAGCACTCCCCGTTCCTGGTCCCTCTAGGAAAGCTTGGGCTTCAGACCAGCAGGGGAGAACGGTGCCCTGCAAACCCCGTGCCTGCTTCGCTTCCAGGGGCTCTGAGATGTCCCGCTGGGCCTGGCCAAAAGAGCGTGGGCTCCTGTCCACAGTGATAAGTTCAGCGCCCTGTGTCCCTTACAGCCACACAACTTGTGCCAGCTAGCTAACCCCTCTGTGCCTCGGTTTCCCCCTGTGCTGGCTCGTATGTGCAGAGAGGCTCTGGGCAGCGCTGGGCACACAGCAAGGGGAAGGAGAGCCGTCCCTGGAGGCCTGGCCTGCGCGTCACTCCAGCTGCGGGGCCTCCTGTCCCCCGGAGGCAGGGCGCCCCGCCTGGGGCCTCAGCTGCCCCTCAGAAGCCCCTGGGAGTTTACTAAAAAAACAAACCACAACCTCAGCCAGCCGCCACTAGGACCAGTTACCCAGCGTCACTCGGGGCAGCGCCTGGCAGGAACTTTGCTCTCATTCCCGTGCCACTTGGAGGGCTCCAACCCTGGGCCTTACACACACTGGGCAAGTGCCCGAGCTGAGCTCCATTCAGGCCCTTGGTCTCCTTGCGTAGCCCCGGCTGGCCTGGAACTCTTAATCTGACTGCCTCCACCGCTGCCCCCCAGCCAGCCTTGCTTATGGCCCCTCCCACAGACCCTGCATGCTTCCCTCTGGGCATGGGCTGTTCCTGGCCTGCTGAGCACTTCTGCCTGAGGACCAGACCGGTGCTGCGGGGATGGGGGTGGGGTGCTGAGGCAGGGCTGGGGGTGGATCCATGGCCTGGGATTCAAATCCCAGCACTGTAACAAAGACTCCAAGGTTATTGATGAGGGGCCTTATAAAAGGGGTGGGGGACAGATTATAATGGAAAGCACCACTCTGGCCTGGCCTGGCCATCCCCAGCCCTGCAGAGACCACCGTTAGCTGGCCCAGAAGGAAATCAGGGGGTGCCACTCCCTGGCCATCAGCCCTCACCCCCCCCCTGAACTGACTGCCCAGCAGCCCGCCATGCCTCCTGCCAGTGCCCGTGCGCACATGCTGCCAGGAGGTGGTCACAGAGGGCACCGTGACCTCACAGCTGGCCCCTGGGGCCGTGGCCCCTAGGGAAGAGACTCTGGCCTCTGACTCTTCTCTTACTCCACAGGCCCACAGAGGAGAAGATATGGGGCTCAAGATGTCCTGCCTGAAAGGTGAGGTGGAGGATGGGGCCCTGGGGCTGGGGAGGGGAGGACAAGGGGTGGAGGCCATGGAGGGAGACCCCCCTCTGCCCTGGGACACCCATCCTCAAGCCATAAACAGCAGGTGCCTCCCTGACTCCTAGACCTCCTCTGGGCTTCCCTTCAGTCAGCATATGGTGATACAGGGAAAATAGTGCCCTTGGGCCTCAGTTTCCCCCTCAGGGCAGTCTCCGGCCAAGAGCATGAGGAGCAGGATATGGAAGGGGCCTGTCATCTTCCAAGCAGGAGCTCCGGCTGGCCTGGTGCTGGAAAAAGGAAGAGCACTGGGGAGGGAGTTCTAGAAGGACCCCAAATCCATGAAGGGTATAGGCCATATTGGTTTCTACAGTTTTCTGTCCAGAGGCACCACAGGTTAACAGGCCACATGGAACACCCCCAAATCCAGGGCCCCTCCCCGGTGCTCTGCCTGTGCAGATGGACGTCCGCCGTCCTCTCCCGGCCCAGGCCTGGGAGCTGCACTCCGCTCTCACCTGCTACATCTCGGTGTCCCGCACACATACCCGCCACTCACAGCCCCAATGCCTCACACACACGCTGCACACACCACACATGCCTGACATGCCACACCCCGATGCACATGTACCAAATACAGGCTACACACACAGCCTACATGCACAGATCCCTCCCATACACATACAACACACATAACACGCCATACCCACACACCTGACACACTGCACACACACATACTGACATGCCTACACACACACACAGAGCCACGGTGCAGAACGGAGCATGAGAGCTGCTCCTGTCCTTCCTGCCCTTTCACCTTTCCTAGGTCAGGCTCATTTTGGGCAACCTGGAACAAAGCCCCTTGTCAGTGAACTGGGTTTCTGGCAGGCTCTGTGCGGCTCCTGGGGCCCAGCACAGCGCTGTTCCCTAGAGCAGCTGCCCCTGCTGTTTGTTACCCTTGTGTCTGCCCCTGCCTTGAGCTCTAGGCAAGCTTAGGGGTCTTGGCTGAAGCTTGGGGACTGATCAGTTAATGTGAGTGAAGAATGGACCTCCCCCACCCAGGAGGTGAAGGGGGACTGCAGGTGTGGCCAGGGTGAATGGATGACCCTTAGGGTCACCTCTGATTGGTCAAGCAGAGTTCTTGTGCCCACGTCTGACTGAGGTCTGGCATCTTGACTGACAGCTCTGCCAAGACTGCTTGTAAAGGAGGAGAGCAGTGGTGGCCCCGGAGAGAATGGGATGTTGCTCGCAAAGGGAACAGTGTAGTCAACCTATCATCTCCAGGTCCTGGCCCATGCTGGACTCCAGGCCCAGCCTACAGAGACGTGTGTGGTGCGTGCGTGCGTGGGTGTGTGGGCGTGTGGGTGTGTAGGGGAGTCAGTGGAGTATCTGTGAGCTGTGTAGGCTGATCTGGGAGTAGACATGGCTGAGGTTTAACCTGAGGAATCTTCACTTCCCAGTGGGCCTGGGACTCTGCGGTTCCCAGCACAGAGCTGGATTCAGGGCATCTTTGTGTGATTTTTCTCTTACGATGATGGAACAGACATAACAAAATGAACTCTGGTGACTGCTAAGTGCACAGAGCACCGAGCACATCCACCCTGTGCAACCACCACGTGCTCTCAGGCAGGAGGTGAAACTCTCCCATTCATCGGGAGCTGCCCTGCTCTCCCTCCTGTCGGCCTCTGCCCCTGCCCACTTTGGGGAGCATCGTTGGCATTTGCCCTTTGGTGGTCTCTGGGGACTTTCACTGTTTCCATCATGTTTCTATGTTCAACTGAGTTTTCATGTCAGTGTTTCATGGTGACCTTGTTTTTTAGTTTATGTTGGCAGATGCTGGGGTTTAAAGTCGGGATCTGAAGCTTGCTAGGCAAGTTCTCCACTCCTTGAGCCGCACCCCAGTCCGTGGGCTGGTCCTTCATTCCATTCTGGGACTGAGCAATACTCCACTGGGTGGATGGCATGAGTCGCTTTGCATTTGCTATCACAGCACACCTGAAATGATCAACTTAAAAGGAGGAGTGGTTTCTTTTTGCTCAGTTTCAGTCCTTGGTCACTTGGACATGGTAGAAGGAAAGCTAGACGGAGGAGGTAGGGGCCAATGCTCCACTAAAGCCCTCAGAGGCATATGCTTCTAACCCCCAAACTTCCTCCCCAAGGCTCCTCCAATGGCCTAACTTCCTCCCCTAGGCCCTGCCTCCAATAGCCTAACTTCCTCCCCTATACCCTACCTCCAGTGGCCCGGCTTCCTCCCACTGGACCTTGCCTTCAATAGCCTGACATCTTCCCTCTAAGCCCCACCTCCAGTGGCCCGGCTTCCTCCCACTAGGCCTCATCCTTAAAGGGTCCCACACCCCCTAAGGGTGCCAAGGGCCAGGCCTTCAACGTGGGCTGAGGACACATGCCCCGTTGTCAACGTCCGACTGTTGGGTCACGACACTGTGACGCCGGAGGACCTGGCGGTAACCCTGGGCCCACCTTCCTTCCAGCTCCAGGCAGGCCTCCGGCCGGGTCTTCCACAGGGTCTTGGCCAGGGGTGCCGCAGAGCCAGCTGTTCCTGGAAACGGCACCCCCACCTCCCACTCCCAGCACCGCAGGACTAAAAGCCCCGCAGAGCTGAGAGCCCCAGGGGCTGGGAGCTTTAAAAGGCTGCCTTGCAGGCCCGTCCAGCCCTGTGGAGAGCTGGGCGGCAGGAAGGAAGCTCATACATTTTTTACCGAGGCCCTCTGCCCAGCCAGGTCCCTGGAGGTGCTGCCCAGGCCTGGGTGTGACCCAGCCACGGCGGGTGGAGGCCGAGTACACGTGGCTAAGATAGACCCAGGCTAGCAGCCAGGGCGTGCCTGGCTCCTGCTCTGCCCAGGGGGAGGGGGGGGCGTCCCCTGGCTGTCCCGCAGGTCCTTAGCAGCCCCCGGGGACACTGGTGCGGCCAGCTCTGCGCCGTCTTCCATCTGCTCCACCTTGCTGCTGCCCGGCCCGGCTGTGCGCTCCGGCTCGGCAGGTATTCGGTTATCGGCAGCGGGAGAGACCCGCCTTCCCCGTGTGGTCCCGGGTCTGCTCTTTGCGGTCTGCTCCCACGTCAGGATTTCCACCTCGACTGCTGGGCAGTGTTGGGGTTGAAGAGGAGCAGATTTGGTAGTGAGTGGGTGTGCGGGCACCTCTGTATTCTGCTGGGGTCACATCCAGCTAACCCTCCAGAGCACCCCTTAAACACTGCCGCAACCCGGATTTCCTGCAGCAAACTGGAACACTGTGCTCCCCATAGACGGAGGTTTGTGCTCCCAGGGCAGAGCCATGCAACCTACCAGGCGGCTTCTGCCTCCAGCAGATGCAAGGGTCCTGGGACTGCCGTAACAAATGACTGTGCACTGGGTGCTTCCGGCCAGGGGAATGTAACTCCTCCCAGGTCTCGCGGCCGAGTCTGCGGTGGAGTGTGACAGGGCCGTGCTGCCCTGGTGCAGGTCCTTCCTGCTCCTCGGGTTCCGGAGCCCCTGTGCCCACTCCCTGCCTGCTTCTCCCTGTGGCCATTTTGCTCGTCTGGTGGGTCCAGACCTGTCTCGGGTCTCCCGAGGATTCCACGCGTCGGATTCCGAGCCCCTCAAATCCACCATGAGCTCGTGACAAGATCTGTAGCTGACCCTGTCCACGGAGGCCTTGCCTCCGAACCTGGAAGCCGGTCCTCGCTGTGGGGCCCTGGGCCCGCATAACTTCAGGGGGACCCCGTTCAACCGGCCGGTCACCTCTCCTCTGAGCCCCACAGTGGGAGACAGGACCGCGCCCTTGGGTCTGCAGCGGGCTGGGCCCGGGGCGGGCAGGGGGTTCAGCACTGGCTTTGTCTGAGGCCAGGCCTGGGCTCACAGCCGTAGCGGTGGGGCAGCGCCCTGAGGATCGGTGGAGTGTGCCCCCCATGTCCCCAACACCCCAAGTCAGGCGCTGACTTGGGCTGAGCTGGGAACCTGAGTCTCCCCCAAGCCGCCCATGCCCGGCAGGCTGAGATGCCACCCTGACACGGTGCCCTCTGGGACATTGTCTGTGTCTGTGGCAGGCATGGTGGGCGGAGGGCGCCCTGGGCCCCTGCACTGCCTCCGCTCCACAGCCGCGTGACCCCGCAGCCACTGAGCCCCGCAGTGATGCGGGCTGTACTGACGGACAGCTGGCGAGGAGGCGGGAGGGACCCCGCCCCACCCCCGGCCCTGCGTCATGGCCTCGTTTCTCCGCTTCTCCCCGTCCCCTCTCCGGCAGTGCATCCCTGACGCAAGCCGGGGCTTTTCCCTTAATTAAAAAGAGATTTAGAACAGCCACAGTCATGGGCTGGACTGCCTGGAAAAGGTAAAAGTGGCCAGAGCTGTCCAACCCCATCCGTAAGGATGCCAGACCGTCCTTATAATTGGAATTAAAAAAAAAAAGATTAAATGCCTCTGAAACCCTCAGAGGCATTTGATTTTTTTTTTAAAAAAGATTTGCCCTGTCATCTGTGAGATTAGTGCCAGTCCCCTGAGCCCTTGTGTTCCTGCCCCAGGGCCTTTGCGTATGCTATGGCTTCTCCAGTGCCCTCCTGCTTCTCTGCAGCCCCTGAACCCCCCCCCCCCAGCCTCAGACTACCACTTTCACCTCTCAGGCTCTGCTGCAGGGAGGGCGGGCTCTGTCCAGTGCTGCATGACCTGGAGCAGGTCTCCACGCTCTCTGTGCCAGATCATCTGCTTTGCTGGGAGGACACACCATAAGTGCTTTCTTCCTCAGGATGTCCCGCCTCCCGGGCCACCATCCTCAAGACCCGACGTGTGGCCTCTGGGGCGGAGGGGGGGGTGGGGGGGGGGGGGGAGGGCGCTCTCCCTCCCTCCCCTCCAGCAGACCCTGCTGTCTGCAGGTCCTCTTCCTGTTGTGGAGGTGGAGCGGGGCGGGGCGGGGCAGGAGGCACAGGGAAGCATCTGTGGAGACCATTCTGTTCTCAGCCGTGCCTGGACCTGGAGCGTGCCTGGCTTCGGTAGGGGCACTGGTGCCCACTGCCTGAGCACTGCCAGGCCCGGCCCACGGCCGTTCTGATGAGAGGATAAAACGTCCCCTAGCTAAGTGTCTTGCTAGGGCCAGCCATGTTGTGTCTGGCCCCCCAGGGGTGACCGCAGGTGGGGACCGCAGGCGGGGCCTCTGTCCACCAGCAGTGGCCCCCAGCTGCCTTCGGGCGGCTGGCTGGATGGTCGTTCTTAGAGTGGGGTACGGGGGCTGTGGATGGCAGATGTCTGGAGCGGCGCCAGCAGGCCCAGCAGAGAGGCCTTGCCCGCAGTGTGCCCTGGGCAGCTGAGGAGCTGGTGGCCTGGGTGGGTCGGAGTCCTGTGTCTCCTGTCCCCTGGCCTTGCTGTGCAGCCACCACGGGGACCGCACAGAGCAGAGCACCAGCCAGCAGAGACCAGCAGGGGGCGCCCGCGGGCCGCAGGCCTGCCAGGGCCAGGTCTGGGAGGCCTGGGAGAGGCTCTGTCAGGAGCCTGCTCCTGGGCAGAGCCTAGAAGTGGGGTCCGAGCCCCGGCTAGCTGAAACCCCGGGGTCTGTGCCTCCCACCTGCTTCGTGTTACCCGCATTATTCCAAACACTGGTATCGGGGCTCTGGGTGCACAGCCAGGGAAACCGAGGCCCTGAGTGAAGTCACCTGACTAGCAGGGCCACCCGGGAGCCTGTCAGAGCCCTGTCGTCCTCACAGAGCAGACTCAGCCCTGCGGGGCGGGCTGTGGGTGGTGCCAGCCAGCCAGGCAGTGCAGCCCAGAACTGAGACCCTGGGGTGCTGCTGAGAAGGGTTCAGTGTGTTGCGGGGGGGGGGTCCCAAAACCTGCTAGTGCCCTGCCTCCACAAATGGCTTCCCACACCCAAACCTGGAGTGAGCATGGGTGGCCTGTGTCTCCATGTCCGTCTGCTCACTGCGCCTTGGTGGTCTGGAATCCTAGCTAAGAAATAGGCAAGCAGGGGCTGGGAAGGTGGCTCAGTGGTAGAGCGCTTGCCTCGCATGTATGAAGCCCTGGGTTCCAGTCCTCATCACCACATAAACAGAAAAAGCCGGAAGTGGTGGTGTGGCTCAAGTGGTAGAGTGCACTAGCCTTGAGCAAAAAGCTCAGGGACTATGCTCAGGCCCTGAGTTCAAGCCCCAGGGCTGGCAAGAACAACAGCAACAAAAATAGGCAGGCATGTTAAGCAACAAATAAGTTCTGGCTGGGAAAACCAGTGCTGGGCTGGGGCAGAGCTGGCAGGCTCGTGTTGCAATCCCTGCAGTGGGCCTGGTCCTGAGGGCCTGGCCGGACCGGACACGGGCTGGTGTACGCCCTCCCTTCCTCATCTCTTCCCTCCTCCCTCTCCGTGGCCCCTCCCCTCCCCCAGGCCTCCAGCATCTCTCTAAGGCTCTGGGAACCATGCTTGTTCCAGATCACCAGTGTGGGCTGTGCTCAGACCCACACGTCTGTGCCGACAGACACGGACGTCCGCCCCTCCCCGGCTTGTGCAAGCCCGGAGGCTGGGGTTTTGCTTCCTTGAGCCTCAGTTTCCACTTTCCTCCCTTGCCTCAGAGCGCTCACTCCTGCCGGTGGGGAGGGAGGGAACTGTGTGTATGAGTGTGCACGTGTGTTTGTGTGTGACCATGTCTGCACATTTGTGTACTTGTGTGTACACGTGTGTGAGCTTTTACATGTCTGTGTGTGCACGTGTGTGCCTGTGCACTGGTGCACACTCATGTGAGTACACACGCTGCTTCCGCAGGCTTCAAGATGTGTGTTAACACCAGCAGCAGCCATGACGAGGCCCCCGTCCTAAATGACAAGAACCTGGACGTGCCCAACATCATCATCACGCCCCCCACGCCCACAGGCAGCATGGTGCTGGCCCGGGACTCGAGGTGGACGGGTGAGTCGGCGCCGCGGCCCTGGGCACAGCGCCCAGGCCCCCTCTGCCCTGCCTGACTTGGGTCCTCACTACCCTCAAGCTGGCTGGAGCTCGGGGCTGCATGCTGTGACGGGCTTGGCGCGCTGGCCTGGGCTGGTTGGCCCGGCCATGATGGTGGCGCCGCTCGCTGCCGAGGCCAGGCCGGGAGGGCTCCAGCTTGATGTCCACTGCCTGGCTGGAGAGGACCATGCCCATGCCTTCTGGATGGGGGGGGAGGGGTGCATGGAGAGGGAGCCCCAGCCACGCCCCCCTCCTGTCCTCAGGACGCCCTGTGAGCTCCAGGGAGGCTGGTCTCTCGGGCAGGGAGCCGGGCCTGTGCTTGGCGCTGGGCCATAGCTGCATGCAACTTGGCTCGGTCACAGCGTTCACTGCCATTGTATAGAAGGGCAGACTAAGGCCTCGCCAAAGGGGTACCCAGGACCCCCTGGCTGTCTGCATCACCAGGGCCCTCCCAGCTTGCAGCAACACCCCTGCCCAGACGTCAGGGAACTCGGGGTAGTGGCCTGAGGCAAAGCCCGCGGGCCCAGTGTGCTGACGGCTGTCTGTCTCCTAGTCTGGCTGGATGAGTTGGGGACTGGCCCGGATGATGGCGAGATGGACCCTGAGGCCTGAGGACCTAGCCGGTGGTTCCCTTTGCCCTGGGCAGCTGGATGGGGACAGCGATCGGGCCCTGGACGAGACAGAGGTAGCAAGATGCGTGTGGCGAGCTGCAGGCCCCAGCGCGGTGCTGAGTGGGCCGGATACCCGCCACCTCCGTGCTCTCAGTGAGCTGACACGGCGAAGGGGAGGGGACCTAACTGCATCCACGACGGCCACAGGGCTGGGCCCACCCCCGGCCCCGCACACGGCCGCGGCCGCCGAACTCTCCAGAGGACTGGCTCCGTTTTTTATACATTGTTTTACAGATACTGCAACAGTCCCAATGTGATTTATAATCGCCTTTTTGCATTTTAAGTAAAGGTCCTCCTTACAGATGCCTGCTCCTGCCTCTTTGGGTGGGAGAGCACAGGGCTGGGGAGAGCAGGGTGGAGGTCACTGCACGCTGGGGCGGGGGGGGGGGGAGCTGTGGCCAAAAATGGTAGAGAGCTAGCCTTGAGCAGAAGAGCTCAGGGACAGCGCCCAGACCGTGAGTTCCAGCTCCAGGACTAACCCAGAAAAAAATCTCACCGACTTTTCCGTCTGTATTGGTCTTGAACCCAGATCTCAGCCTCCTGAGTAGCTAGGATAACAGGTGTGAGCCACCGGCGCCCGGCTACTTCTGGCCTCTTGGTGGCCCGCAGGCCTCCACCCGAGCAGCTCTGGAGAGTTGTTTATGGAGGTGGAATCTCACAAAGTGTTTGCCTGAGCTGGCTTCCAATGACGGTGCTCCCAATCTCTGCCGCAGGCCTGACCTTACCCAGCCTTCCTGCCCTGGCTCCGGTGTCAGCGTGCTGCTTCTCCGGCCAGTGGAGGGCCTCTTCAGAGCCGGCCTCGAGGCCCAGATTCAAACACTACTCCTTGACTTACTGGGCCTTCTTTGAACACACCCTCAGGGATGGATTAGCAATGTCTGTGGTTTGTCACAGCCCAGCACACTGATTAAAACAAGAAGTTGTGAATGCGTGAATGGGTACACCGAGGCCGAGGTGATGAGCTCTAGGGAGGAGACAAAGATGGCTCTGCAGCCATGCCCTGGTGTGTTGAGGGCAGCTGGGGGGGAGGGGCAGGGGACCAGGGAACATTCTGGTCTGGCCTCTTGGGATTCATGGTGCCTTCCTGCAAAGCGGGGGGGGG